CTGATTCATTAAAATATCAGAAAATGGATAAATAAGACAGCGATACACTTTATTCAGTAAATCCACATAGGATTCTCCCATGGTATTTTCAGGGGGGGAGGTGGTTGTTTGTTTCCAACTCCTTCTTTTTTTTGAATTGCAGCAAATAACTTCATGACATGTGTTCATGTACACTGGTTTTAAGAAGTTCCAGGTGTTAGTTGGTCAGCTGTTGATTTATATTTCCAGTAGGATCACTTTCTGGGATTCCTCCTTAATCCCAGTTCAGGCTTATTGTGTGACAGATGGTTTCACTCCATCCGTGAGCGTGGCGCATTGGGGTCTGTGAAAGGCAGAGTGCTTTGCTGGTGGGGATTACACACTCAGCTGAAGTTCTTGGTGGAGAGGGTTACTCATTGCACAAGTTTATGAGCTGTGGGATTTTTCTTTTCCTGTTGCAAATGTGCTTTTGTTTGACTACTGACAACGTTGCTTGCCCTGGATTCCAAATTGCTGCTCTTGCAGAGTCCTCAGGCCTTGACTTACTTGAGTTAATGGCCAAGGACAGCCTTGGAGAGGATTCCTCCCATGAGATGGGGATGGCACAACCAAGGGAACAATGGGTCATTGTCTGGCCAGTGTCTACTGAGGAGGTGACGGCGCCCCAGGAATATGCAAAAATCAACTTTGATGACATGAAATTTTAAACATTATAGGATTTTCTGCTGAACAAAATTTCTGTAAGAAAATCCCCTGATGGTGGGAGATATAATGAATGAAACTATTTTAACATGAGGAATATTCTTTCCTGTGTGATTCATGGGAAAGGAACGTTTCTGCCCAGATCAGTGATGATGCGTTCCCTGCCCATGGGAGTGAAGCCAATATTTGTAAAAAGTACTTTTATATGAGCAAATATCTGAAATGGGCAACCTCATGTGTGTTTTCCTTACAAGAGAAAAGGCCAGGGGTGAATTTCAGATTTGGAAGATGAGAGAAAGGAAAATTAATTATTTTCCTGAATCAGATTTCTACTCCTTTAGTTCACCAGATATTCCTCCCTCTCTCTGACTTATCCAGGCAAGTGTGGATGGATACTGGATATTCTTTCATGTAAAGGCTTTTTAAAAGTTAATTATCTCAGAGTAAACATTTCTGGATGTTGGCTCAAATAAGACCAGGCAGACATGAGACTTTTTAAACACGGCTCACCACCTGGCCTCATGGAGCCTCAAAGGCTCCATGGATCTGCCTTTACCCCCTCCTCCTCTCCCACCACCCCAAGCCATGGCCCTTCCCATCCTTGTGCCTCTGCTTTCTCGGGGCCCTCTGCCTTCCCCTTCTGTGCACCTGATAAGTTCCACTCATCCTTCCGGCCCAGCCACATGACACTGCTGCTGAGAATTCGCCTGCTGTGAAAATACATCTCCTTCTCCATTCTGTCCTGGTTTACTTATTGTAGCTGGGAATATACTAGAATAAAACTTTACAGGCCGGCCCGGTGGCGCACTGCTACAGTGCGCTGCTTGGGAGCGCGGCGGCGCTCCCGCNTGAGGGTTGCGATCCGTTGCCGGACACGAAAAAAGACAAAAAGAAAAAAAAAAAAAAAAACTTTACATCACTCCTGCCAAGAACTAAGGTTTTTACATGAAAGGTACCCATCTAGAAATTAAGAACTTTGATCATCACCCCCATTTTACAGAAAAGGAAGCTGAGGCACAGATTACATAGCAGCAGAGCCAGAGGTGCACCAGGAACCCGGCTCCAGAGCCTGGCTCTTAACCCCTGTGCTGTCTGTGGTCTCCAGCAGGAATCAGAGCACTGTCCTTTCTTGCTGTCCCTAGCACCTTGCATAGGGACTGTGTGTGATGGGCACATAGTTGACTTCAGCAATTAAGAGGCTTAGTTGGAAGTGACGGTTTGCATGAGAGCCATGCTGGGGAGACAGCAGTCTGGAGCCTGTGTGAAATTGCAATGAGGATGTTCCTAATTGTCTTTTCTGCACAGCAGATCATGAAGGGCCCGTTCTCTGGAACCCATCATTAGCACGGTGAAATATAGCAATTGGGGAGTGTGAGGGGCTACCTTTCTATCACAGCACAATTCTGACAATCCATCTTCAAAAGAAAGAGAGTTTACTTTTCGTTTCTAATTTTCCTCAAATTCCATGTTTCCAAGTATCTGTATTCAGCCAACCTGCGTGGGACACAGCCCAGGCCTGATTTATCTCCCAGAGTGGATGATCCAAAGCAAGTATTCAGACTGTACTGGTGTCCAGAACACTGTGCTTCTCAGCAAGAGGTGGACTGTCACACTGCTCGTGTCCCTGCACCACCCCAGACCTCCCCAGCCCACCAAATCAGCATCTCCAGGGTGTGGACGTGGGACTTATTTTCTGATATGAGAATCCCCATGTATCAGAACAGAAATCTATTAGTACTCTGCATCCATTTTCCAAAATACATTGCTAGATTTTTACTGTTTCAAAAACTAACTAAAACTATAATCCAGGTATATTTTTAGACATTTTTTATTGGAACATACTTGATTGTACATATCTTAGGGGAACAGCATTAAATATCAGTACTTGTGTGCAATATGTGATATTCAAGTCAGGATAATTAGTATATTCGTCATTATACAATGTAATTGATTTTCAACATTTTTAGACCACTTTTAACTTAGGGATTTGAAACTAATAGTTTTCTATATCCTTTCTTAACTTGTATTAGAAATGCGTAAATGTGTAGCATTATTAAGTCTAGAATCAATATTAAATTTATGACTCAATAGCAAAAACAGCTCCAGCATCATTTAAGTCAAAAGTTGTAAGTTCTTAACTTTAATCTTTTGAAAAACTGGTATTTTTGTTCATAATCTGGATCATAGGTTTATGGGTTTTTGTTTCACCATGATTCTTTGAAATAGATATATAATGCCTTCTTATATAATTGCTGTATTTCATAATAAAATGTTTTTTAATTAATATTATATAACCTGAGAGGTCAGCTCAGTGTTTGAACATTATAAATTGCAGTCTTTTTAATATGTTTTGCTGCAGCTTGGAATTCGGAGTTTGAGGGGATGACTGGTAAGCGTGCAGGGTGAAAGGATTATCCAGTAATGCCCAGGTTCTGTCTTCTCCTTTATAGGGTAAAGCATCAAGTAGAATATTTGGGTCTCAAAGAAAACATTCGCGTGAGAAGAGCTGGTTACGCCTATCGACGCATCTTCCAAAAATTCCTACAGAGGTAAGAACTAGTGACTCTGGACTTTGAAAAAAAACAGGTTATTGAATTATTGAGATACAATTCACCCGTGTAAAGTGTATGATTCAGTGGCTTTTAATACATTCACAGAGTTGTGCATGCATTACCACAATTAATTTTAGAACATTTTCTTACTGTGAAAAGAAGTCTTGCTCCCTTTAGTTGTCAACCCCTGATTCTCCCCTCGTCCTCTGCCCTGGGCAATCACTAATCTGGTCTTTTCATATAAATAGGATTATATATGTGTCATTTGTGGCTGGCTTCTTTCACTTAACCTAATGTTTTTAAGATCCATCCATGTTATAGCATGTCTGCACTTAATTACTATTTATTGCTGAATACAGTCATCCGTAGGTATATCAAAATCTGCAGATTCCCAAGTCCTCTATATAAAGTGGCATAATATTTGCATATAACCAATGCACATCCTCCCGAATACTTGAAATCATTTCTAGATTACTTTTATAATACCTAGTACAATGCAAATGCCAGGTAAGTATTTGTTATATTGTATTGTTTTCTATTTGTATTTTTTTGTTGTTGTTGTATTGATATTTTTTATTGTTTGTGGTTTTTTTCCAAATATTTTCAATCCATGGTTGGTAGAATCTGCAGATGTGAAACCCATGGATACAGAGGGCCAATTGTAATATTCCATTGTGTGGATTTACCAAATGTTACTTGTTCATTCATCAGTTGATAGATATCAGTTGTTTCCACTTTGGGGCTATTATGAATAATGCTGTGATGAAAATTTATGTACAAGTTTTTGTGTGGACACGTTTCCATTTCTCTTGGGTATATACATAAAAGTGGAATTGCTGGGTTATATGATAACTCTATGTTTAACCTTCTTGAGGAACTGCCAAATTGTTTTCTCAGAAGTGGCTGCAACATTTTACATTCCCACCAGCAGTATTTGAGGGTTTCAATTTACCCAGATCCTTGCCAACATATGTTATTATCTGACTAACCCTCCTAGTGGGTGTGAAGTGGTATCTCTTTGTGGTTTTGATTTACACTTCCCAGATGGCAAATGATACTGAACATCTTTTCATGTGCTTATTGGCCATTTGTATTTCCTCTTTAGAGAAATGTCTGTTCAGGTCCTTTGCCCATTTTTTAATTGGGCTTTTTGTCTTTTTATTATTGAGTTGTAATAGAATTCTTTTTACCAGTATTTGTTGTAGAATAAATCAGTAGCCACAAGTATTTAGTAGGCTGTCTGCTTAGTTTAACATAAGTTCAAGAATTTATAATGGTGACCCAAGAAGGGCTGAGGTATAACTTGACTGAGCAAATTAACAATATGAGGACAATTTCAGGAAAATATTTAACTTACTCGAGAGAATAAGCTTAAAGTATTTAACTTCAAAATTTTTTTACAATCCATGTATAAATCTAAACTGGTTTCTGTATTTCGTTTAATGTATATTTGGCAAGATCTATACTTAAATTGTTCCTATTTTGTGTTACTTGTTTATGAAAAGGATAAAATTTAGTGTCCATAAAACATTGCATCATTCTAACTTCTCTAATGATTCTGTGCATTTCCACTGTATTTTCTACATTTGTTTAACTTCCTTTAAGAAAGAGAGAAGCAAAAAAAAAAAAAAGAAGGAAAGAAAATTTAGCATTTTAATCAGAAAACAATTATGTCTTCCTGGTATATGATACAAGAGCAGGATATAAGGATTTTTGTTATTATTATTATTCAATTTTTAAATTGGTCATGAATACTTATGAGATACAAAGCTGATTGTCAGCCCTCGTGCTCAAGATGTGAAGGCCAGATCCATACAGGCGGCATGCACCGTACCACAAATTGTGTTTGTACCCCCATCCCCATATTACTCAAATTTTATGTAACAAAGAACTAGCAGGCTGAAGAGCTTAATTACTCTCTTTGAAATCCAGTACTGGTAATAAAACAGTTCTTCCTTTGGGGATGTTACTTCTTGTGCCATGAGATTAGGATGGCTGACTCTTCAGTTAAAGACTTCAACATAGGGTCAGTCATTCCGTACAATAAAGCCTCATTAGCTCAGTCCCTACACATTCAAG